AGCCCTCTGGAACGAGCTCCACATGGAGATCTGGACCCTTACTACTCTCCTGGCCTTCTGCAAAGCCACTAAGATCTGGCTCGTCCGGCAGGCTGGGGGGGTGTTGAAATAGCCAGCCCCACAGGAACTATGAATGTTGTGTATTTTAAATTGTTGTTTGTCTATTTGTCTATTTATCCCCTTCCTTTGTTTATTGTAAGCCACCCGGAGTCCTTCGGGAGTGGGCGGCATACAAGACCAATAAAACTAAACTAAACTAAACTAAACCTGGGTATCAGCTACTATAAACTAAAAACATAAATAAGTGAATACAAAATTCAAAACACGATGGACCAATTAAAAGATGGGGAGGATGGGGAACAGGATGGTGGGAGGTGGGATCTTTTTCCAATTGATCAGCCACCTCCACTGTAATAATTCCCCCATTGGAGCCAGAAGTTAACTGGCAGAACCTATGATTTCATACCCACATGCATGGAAATAACAGCAAACCTGAGCTGGAGGGAGAGGCTGATCTAGAAGTCGGCCTGTTAGAGAAAATTGCCAAGTTTTCAGAAGCACACGCCAAACTTTGTTGAGATATAAATAGAACAGAATAGAATAACAGAGTTGGAAGGGACCTTGGAAGTCTTGTAGTCCAACCCCCTGCTCAGGCAGGAAACCCTACACCACTTTAGACAAATGGTTATCCAACCTCTTCTTAAAAACTTCCACTGTTGGAACATTCACAAGTTCTGGAGGCAAGTTGTTCCATTGATTACCGTATTTTTCGGACAACAAGACCGCCGATGTATAAGACGCACCAAAGGTTTCAAAGAGGTACCGTGTTTTTTGGAGTATAAGATGCACCTTTTTCCCATAAAAAAGGGAGTGAAAATCTGGGTGCATCTTATAAACTGAATACAGCATTTTTGGCCCCCTGAAACCCCACCCCCTTTGCAAAAATGGACGTGGATAGCCTTTAGGAGGCTTCCAGAGTGTTCCTGGGGGCTGGGGGGGGGGGTAAACAAGGAAAAAAATGGTCCGTTTTGGCTCATTTTTGCCTCCCTCTAGCCCTGCTGAAGCCAGCAGAATGCTTCTGGGGGTGGAGGAAGGCAAAAACATCTCCGTTTTTGCAAAAAAATGGCCGGTTTTCGCCCATTTTTCACAAAAATGGGATTCAGGGGTGGGGCTTTAGAAGGCCAAAAATGGCTGTATTCAGTGTATAAGAGGCACCAACATTTCCACGCTCTTTTAGAGGGGGAAAAGGTGCATCTTATACTCTGAAAAATAAGGTAATTGTTCTAACTGCCAGGAAATTTCTTCTTAGTTCTAAGTTGCTTCTCTCCTTGATTAGTTTCCATCTTCGCTTCTTGTCCTGCTCTCAGGTGCTTTAGAGAATAGCTTGATTCCCTCTTCTATGTGGCAACCTCTGAGAAATCGGAACACTGCTATCATGTCTCCCCTAAAGAGTTGTTCCATCTCCACCTTCCAAAGAAAGGCTGAGTCATGTCCCCACTTATTCAGGAGCCGCAGATGAGACAGCTTGAAATGGTCAGTGGGAAGGCCGATAAGTGGTAGGACAGAATGTTTGAGGATAAACCTTATCCTCCCTTGCTTTCTCAAGGGAAGGGAAACATGGCTTTGTTTTCAGGCCCTCTGGGATAAGCGCCCAGTTCTAATAGTATGAACCATATCTAAATGAGATTGCCACTTGGACAGAAATAATGCCCTTTCGAATGAAGACAGCTCCTTTGGAAAGTTGGCCCACCAATCAAAGGAAAAGTAGAGCTTGCCAAATAATAATAAACAGGGGTGTATTCAAGGCTATACTTTTCTCTTCAGAGACAGGGTAGGGTAAGGTAGGGTAGAGTGGAATGGAATGGAATGGAATAGAATAGAATAGAATAGAATAGAATAGAATATTCTAGCCGAGGTGGTGCAGTGGTTAGGGTGCAGTACTGNTGCAAAATCTCCATTCCCACCCCACGCTGGGGCAAGCCAGAGGTGGTATTTGCCGGTTCTTTGAACTACTCAAAATTTCCGCTACCGCTTCTCCAGAACCTGTCAGATCTCTCTGAATTTTACCTTGGTCTTAACATATAGGTGGAAAGTGGATAATTAAATTCACTTCTTACTTAGGAAGCAACATTGGGCGATGTTGGTGGTTTTTCAGCTGCACCAACTTAGGAATCAAATGGAGATTTGAGACCTCTTGGAGCAGAGAGTTCTTTGCAAGAAGGGAGGGAAAGGATAAAAAGGCCGTCTTCAGGTTGAGTTCAATTCTTGGGGGCCTGACGGAGACATTTTTACCGATTTGTTTTAAAGAGTAATGAGGAAGTGGGTCACCATCTTTTTTTAAGATGATGACACATAGCACTGCAATCTAACTTGGTGCGTGGGGTTTCCCTGTGGCTTCCATGTGGTAAACTGGTGGGCCCCTACCCTACTTTCATGAGGACCAGCCAAGGTCAGTAAGTTGTTGCCACCTAGCTGGTCTCAGAAGGGCAGGCTTATGGATATCATTTCGACCTTATGGTAGACCCATGGTATATCCTCTTCCAAAGGAGGACCACTGGTCCTCCTTTGAAGACTTACTCCTTGTGGCCTCACTTAGAGGTGGATTTCCACTAGCTTAGCCTAGTTTTGCACAGGAAGAAGAAATTAAAGCCTAAGAAATGTTTCATCAGAGCCTCAAGGCCTCCTGTTCTTCTACGTTAAAGGAGAAGTGACTGAGATGGATTAGACGGTAGGATTGAAGTAAACATCTTCAGACAGGAAGCCCTGGGGAATTAGGGAGGAAGTGACAGAACCACACGAGATGGAACTGGTTGGCTGCCTTTGTCCTTCCCAGACAATGTATTATTCTATTACTCTGATTTCTTTCTTTTTTCCACCTCTTTAAGCTTTGAAGAATATAGTTATTTATTTAGAAAAATTTATAGGTTGCCTATTTTACTTCAAGGTAATCCTGGGCATCTTACAATCATTAAAAAAATCAAAACTATCTATCTATAAAAATAGCTGTGTGTACGTGTGTGTGTCTATTCGTATGAAACACCTTGAGCAATTTCAAACTTGGTACACAGATGACTTACTCTCTGGAAACAAATACTGTGGGGGTAAGACATCCCTAATGCCCTTCGGGGGGTGGGTGGGTTATGTTCTGTTAAGCTACAGCCTGTTGTGCCTTAAAATGGCTTCTATTGTACTGCCGTAAAATGGCTTCTACTGTACAGCGCAGTGGAGTTGCCCTGGTAATGGCTTCACAGTACTCCACAATGGGGGTCCCTCTGATAAGGGGGAAAATCAAACATTATAAATTTCATTTGATCTGGACATTCCCCCCCCCCCCTATAAATAAATACCTTCATTGAGATAGCCAGCCCCACAGGAACTATGAATGTTGTGTATTTTAAATTGTTGTTTGTCTATTTGTCTATTTATCCCCT